CTATCATTAACATGGGAGGCCCGGTTTGGCATGACTAACACTGGGTGTTGTGATTAACATTGGGTCTTGGATTTAACATTGGGTCTTGGATTTAACATTGGGTCTTGGATTTAACATTGGGGTATTGTTGAAATTAACACTGAGTCCTGTTGTACTTAACAATGGTTCTTGTAAATTACAAGGTGGCATACGTTTAAATTTATGCTGTGGTTTATCTTGTCTATCATTCTATATGTTATTTATCAACGTGTGCAATTTGTTAAACACGTTCATTTGTTCAGTTAATAGATTCATTAATGTCACTCACTTGTAATTAGTTTTAATAGTTTTGTTATTGCTGTCACTGTGAAGGATATAACATTATCATTATTATTTTGATTTCTGATAATAACAATATCATTAATATCATTATGATTATGATGATTGATTATATAATATAATAGCAGTATTAATATTACAGTTAATAATAATGATGATTATTATAATATCATAATAGTAATTATAATGATGATGACAACAGTATCATTAAAATTAATTCTGATAATATTGATATATGTTGGCTGTAGTGACATAAATACCTTTTATCATTAATTGCAAAAGCATTTGTCTTAAAAACTGAAAGAAAGAAATAGAAAGGAGCGAAGGGGGCATGGAAAGAAGAAAGGAGTTGGAGAAAATGAGGTGGATTCAACCCAAGTTTCCGAGAAGGAGGGGCCAGGGGGAGCAATTAAAATGGAGCCAATAAAAGAAAAAAATATCTTTATTTGAATGTGATAATGACCCGCGTTTATATATAGATGTTGCAAAAAAGGAAAGCCGTTGTTCTTTATCGTATATTGGCACGGAGAAAAGAGAGGAGATGAGAGGAGGAGGGGGGGAAATAGACGAGAGACAGAGAAAAAGAGAGAAGAAAATTCCACTTCCCACAGAAGACAAGAGCATTCTTATCCAAGAAACAGATTTGCAAAGTCACATTATTATTCCACAAGGTCCAATTTGTTGAAGGAAAGAAACAACACAGAATAAAAAAATATGATAGAAATAAACAATAAGTTGAGACACCATGTGGAAAAACAAAACAAAAACAAAGGGCGCTTTATTGCAAATCTAAAGCGTCACTTTCCTCCAATTTAAGATTTTGAGAGAGAGGGGCGCTAGCGAAGGACCGAAACAAACCTTCAAATTTAGAATCTGCTTGTTTACAGAAGCCACAAAAGAACATTGGTGTCCCACCTCGCCCCGTCACAAAACACCCAGGCATTGCAAAGAGCCTATATTGATTGAAGATCTCCGCAATATCACCATGGAGGTTGCCTTCCTTTTTTTCTCCACATTCTCCTTTGTAAGCTTGATAACCGGACATTCACTTGTTTAAGTAACCTGTCACAGACATTCATTGCGTTCCCACCCCCGCTGACCAACCTCCTCTTTAGTCGCCTTATTCTCTCTTGGTGGCGAGGTACATAAAACTGCTGCCGGATTCTTTGGTCTGTGTTGTGTGTCGGTTCTTGGCTTGATGCGTGAGAGTCGGGTTTCTCTCCACCTCTTCCTTGTTTTCCTATCTCTCTCTCTCTCTCTCTCTCTATCTCTCTCTTCTCTCTCTCTCTCTCTCTCTCTCTCCTCTCTCTCTCCTCTCTCTCTCTCCTCTCTCTCTCTCTCTCTCCCTGCTCCCTCTCTCTCTATCTCACTCTCTCTCCTCTCTCTTCTCTCTCTCTCTCTCTCTCTCTCTCTCTCCTCTCTCTCCTCTCTCTCTCTCTCTCTCTCTTCTCACTCTCTCCTCCTTTTTTCCTCTCAACATTCTCTCTCACCCCCCCCCCTCTCTCTCATCTCTCTCTGCCTCCTCTCTCCTCTCTCTCACTCTCTCACTATCTCTCTCTCCTCTCTCTCTCTCTCTCTCTCTCTCTCTCTCTCTCTCTCTCTCTCTCTCTTTCTCTCTCTACATCTCTCTCTCTCTCTCTCCTCTCCTCTCTCTCTCTCTCTCTCATTCTCACTCTTTCTCTCTTTCCCCCCCTCTCCCCCTCTCCCCCCTCTCCCCCCTTCCCTCCCTCCCTCTCCCTCCCTACCACTCTCCCTCCTTCCCTCCTTACCCCCCTCCTTCTCTACTCTCCGTCCCTCCCTATTACCTTCCCTTTCCTTTACTCACTTTTTTACATTTTAATTCTCTTCCACAACTCAATCACCATCTCCCTCATCCCCCACCCCTCCCAGTGCCGTGTTGGCCCTTACGAGGAGGCTCCGTAAGGAAGATAATTGCATCCAACGACGAAGCTTTGCGAACGCGAGCGGCGTGGGGGTGGGGGTGATGGTGGGGGTGGGGATATGAGGTAAGTGCGATTCGGGGCGAAAACACTCGACGGGAAATTCCTCCCGGCGGACTCCTGGGCCGAAATAAGTTGTTATCGTTCTAATAGTTTCGTGTGACTGATTGTGACGGATTGGGTGAGGGATCGTTTTCCGTTGCGTGGGCGTGGGCGGGGCGCGGGAGGAATGAGCTGGAAAT